GCCGGAGCCAGGGCCTTGCGTGAATGACCGGCCAGGCACAGTGAAGTGGTAGGCGCTCACGCGGGACTACGCGAGGCCGGGGCTCGTGACTAGAATCGGAGCCCACTAAGAAAGATGGCAAGAGTGGAAATTGTAGCTATAACCAGGGGCGAAGGGGAAATTTTTAAGCTTACCTGCAGGCGCGAGGCGATTGAGGGGAAAAGGGGAGCGGGCGGGAAGGGGAAGGGCGGGAGGCCGGGGGCGGAACAATAGGGGCGGGCGGGAAGGCGAGGGGGCCCCCGCGGGCGGGCGGAGGAGGAAGGGGGGGGTGGAGGAGGAGGAGGAGGAAGGGGGAAAGAGACCCCGGGGCGGGTGGAGGGCGGCGGAGGGCGGGCGGGCGGGCGGAGGGCGGGCGGGCGGGAGAGGGCGCAGGCTGCGGCTGCTCCGGCTGCTGCCTCTGCTGGTCTGGGAGGGGGACGGGGCGGAGCGGCCCGCTTTCAACCCCGCGCACCCTCCGACCCCGGAAGCGCTAACCGCCCCGGGGGCCGGCGAGGCGACTGCGTCGTCCACACCTTCCCCACGCAATGCGGACGGCCTCCCAACAGCCTAGAGAGGCTCCGTGGACAGAGTCAGCACCAGCGAGTCGTGGGTTGCTAGCAAATGGCGATATGTGTGATAGAGAGGCAGCGTGGGGGCGGATAGGAAACTAGTGACCCCTAGCGGGATGACTGGAAAGCTCAGACGTAAGTGCGGAGAGAGGTGGCAGTCGCCATGGATCAGGAAAAAAGGATAGGTAGGGAGCGAATAAGAAGGAAGAGGGGAGATATCGGTAGTCTATAATGATACTCAAAAAAAAGAAAAGGAAAAAGCTGATTTCCCAAGTTGGAGGTGACTATTACACCAACTTCTTACTCTGAAACTTGTTAGCATTTAACTTTCCTTAATTTAGGGAAGTTAAAATTTTAAGAGAAAGGTTGTCAGGGAACAAATATTATCATGCTATCAAATATCACCACACATATTTGCCAATTACACGGTGAAAAAGAAAAATGAAAGTAACTTCAAATGGGGAAATCTGGCAGTCACTACCTTACCCAGATATGTAAGTAATCAAACTGCATCATTCATGGTAGGACAACTTTGACATTGTGTGGTACTTCATAAGATGCAATAAGTAGTCCACAGCATCATCTATAAGTATCCTCACCAAAAGTGCTTAATCTTAATCTAATCAAGCCATTAGTTCTAATTTGCAATTTGTAGGAAATATACAGAGGATAAAAGAACAAGTCAACATTCAACAAGGAGATATTTTGCAAATCATTAATGTGTCCACAAGGCAACCAGCCTGGTGTCCTCAGAAGAAACAATGGAATATAAAAAAAGAGGGAATTAACCAGGCACATGCCTATAGTCCAAGCTCCTCAGGAGGCTGAGGCAGGAGGATCGCTTGAGCCCAGGAGTTTGTGGCTGCAGTGAGTATGATCACATCATTATACTTCAGCCTGAGCCACAGAACAAAACTCTGTATCTAAAATAAAATAAGCCGGACTCGGTGGCTCAGCCTGTAATCCCGCACCTTTGGGAGGATGAGGTGAGTGGATTGCCTGAGCCCATGGGTTCAAGACCCGCCTGGGCAGGCAAGACCTCATCTCTACAATAAAATCAAAAAATTAGTCGGGCATGGTAGCGCGCGCCTGTAATTCCGGCTACTCAGAAGGCTGAGACGGAAGGATCACCAGAGCCCAGCAGGTCGAGGCTGTGGTGGCCGGGAGCGGCCACTGCACTCCAGTCTGGGCGACAGAGTGAGACTCCAACTCAAAAAAATAAATTAATTTAAAATAAAATAAAATATAGGCCAAGTGCAGTGGTTCACTCCTATAATCCCAGCACCTTGGGAGGCTGAGATGGGAGGATTGCTTGAGCCCAGGAGTTCCAGACTAGCTTGGGCAACACAGAAAGACCTCATTGCTACAAAAAAATTAAAAAATTAGCCAGATGTGGTGGCACATGCCTGTAGTCCCAGCTGCTCGTGAGGCTGAAGTAGGGAGATTGCCTGCCAAAATATTTTTAAAAAAAATATTTAGGGGTAAGATTCTGATGATGCGAGACTCTTTCTTTCTTTTTTTTTTTTTTTTTTTGAGTTGGAGTCTCACTCTGTCGCCCAGGCTGGAGTACAGTGGCACACTTATGGCCTCCACAGCCTTGACCTGCTAGGTTCAGGCAAGCCTTCCACCTCACCCTTCCAAGTAGCTGGAACTATAGGCGTATGCCACCATGCCTAGCTAATTTTTTTTATTTTTATTTTTTTTGCATTGGAGTCTCACTCGGTCACCCAGACTGGAGTGCAGTGGCCGCTCCCGGCCACCACAGCCTCGACCTACTGGGCTCCAGTGATCCTTCCGCCTCAGCCTTCCGAGTAGCTGGAATTACAAGCGTGCGCTACCACGCCCAGCTTAATTTTTTTTTTTTAATTGCAGAGATGAGGTTGCACCAAGTTGCCCAGGCTGGTCTCAAACCCGTGGGCTCAGGCAATCCTCTCACCTCAGCCTCCCAAAGTGCTGGGATTATAGGTGTGAGCCACCATGCCTGGCGCAAGACACTTTCAAGTGACTCATATTGGTATACCACTAAAGCAAATGTGGTAAAACATTGGCAACTCAACATGTTGAGTGTAAATAGTAAGATTTTTTTTGTTGTTTTTTTTGTTTTGGTTGTTTTGTTTTGTTTTATTTGAGTTGGAGTCTCACTCTGTCACCCAGACTGGAGTGCAGTGGCCGCTCCCGGCCACCGCAGCCTCAACCTGCTGGGCTCTGGCGATCCTTCCGCCTCAGCCTTCCAAGTAGCCAGAATTACAGGCGTGAGCTACGACACCCGGTTAATTTTTTGATTTATTGTAGAGATGATGTCTCGCCAAGTTGCCCAGGTGGGTCTTGAACCTGCGGGCTCAGGCAATCCACTCACCTCGGCCTCCCAAAGCATGGGACTACAGGCTGAGCCACTGAGCCCGGTCAATAGTAAGATTATTGATAATCATTTTATTGTTCTTTAAACTTTTCTTTTCTTTTTTTTTTTATTTTTTATTTTTTGAGTTAGAGTCTCACTGTTGCCCAGACTGGAGTGCAGTGGCACGCTCCCGGCCACCGCAGCCTTGACCTGCTGGGCTCAGGCGATCCTTCCGCCTCAGCCTTCCAAGTAGCTGGAACTACAGGCGCGCGCTACCACGCCTGGCTAATTTATTTGATTTATTATACAGATGAGATCTTGCCAAATTGCCCAGGCGGGTCTCGAACCTGCAGGCCAAGGCAATTCACTTACTTCGGCCCCCCAAGACGCGGGATTGCAGGCTGAGCCACCAAGCCTGGCCTAAACTTTTATTTTCATACTAAACATTGGAAAAAATATGGAATAGAATAACATTAGTAAATGTTGATAATTACTGAAGCTAGACGATGGGAATAAGAGTTCGTTAGACTATTTTCTCTATATTTGTGTATGTCTGTAAATTTCCATGTTAAAAAGTCTTTTTAAAAAAAGCAAAAAAGCCAGACTCGGTGGCTCAGCCTATAATCCCAGCACTTTGGGAGGGGGAGGTGAGTGAATTGCCTGAGCCCATGGGTTCGAGACCCACCTGGGCAACTTGGTGAGACCTCATCTCTACAATAAAATCAAAAATTAGCTGGGCTTGGTAGCGCGTGCCTGTAGTTCCAGCTACTTGGTAGTCTGGGAGGTCAAGGTTGCAGTAGGCTGTGATCATACCATTGCACTACACTGCAACCTGGGTGACTGAGTAAGACCCCAACTCAAAAAAAAAAGGCCAGGCATGGTTGCTCACCCTTGTAATCCTAGTACTTTGGGATGTTGAGGCAACAGAATTTTTTTGAGCCCAAGAGTTCAAGACTAGACTGGGCAACACAGTGAGCCCTCATCTCTACAAGAAATGTATATATATTTTAAAAAATTAAAATTAGCCAGGCTCGGTAGCTCAGCCTGCAATCCCGCGCTTTGGGAGGCTGAGGTGAGTGGATTGCCTGAGCCCGGGGATTCAAGACCCGCCTGGGCAACTTGGTGAGACCTCATCTCTACAATAAATCAAAAAATCAGCCAGGCGTGGTAGCGGACACCTGTAATTCTGGATATTCAGAAGGTTGAAGCGGAAGGATCGCTGGAGCCCAGAGGGTCGAGTCTGCTGTGGCCGGGAGCGGCCACTCCACTCCAGCCTGGGCAACTGAGTGAGACTCCAACTCAAAAAACAAAACAAAACAAAAACAAAAAAAAAAGAGAGAGAAGTGTCCAGACAGAGAGCAAGGAAAAAAAAAAGGGGGAAGGAAATTAAGAGACAGCAAATACTAGGTTATTGTTGAAATTTGTTCAAGTTCTTTCAGCATCTGTTCTGGCCTTAATATCAGTCAAGTTTTTTTGTTTGTTTGTTTGTTTGTTTTGAGTTGGAGTCTCACTCTGTCGCCCAGACTGGAGTGCAGTGGCGGCTCCCGGCCACCGCAGCCTCGACCTGCTGGGG